CCAATCGCGACCAGAACAATGCAGCCATTAATACGGACGTAGTTAACGCTGGCTCGCACGTGGAGGCAACTTTTGCGATTCCTAAAATTAACCCACCGAGTATGGCTGATACTCACATTGAATCCTATTTCATGTCACTAGAGTTCTGGTTTGCGGCATCAGGGATTATAGCTGACTCAAAAAAATACAACATAGTAATGGCGCAAGTACCACCTGCTAAATTGTCAGAGCTGCAAAGCATTATTAGTGAATTACCGACACAAAATAAGTATGAATATGTTAAGGAGAAACTTATTAAGCATTTTGCAGAAAGTCAGCAGCGCCGCTTGCAAAAAGTCATCTCCGAGATGCCACTCGGCGACTTAAAGCCTAGCCAATTGTTCAGCAATATGAAACGAGTTGCTGGACAATCCTTAAGTGAAAATAGTTTAATAGATCTCTGGACAGCTCGACTCCCTGCCCAGGCACGAGCTGCAATCATAACGTCAGAGCAAAAAATACTAAGAAAAGTAAAAATCGCTGATGATATAGTGGAATCGCTCAACCTCGGCGATACATTTTATCCGGATTCCAACGTTTGAGCACTAACTAGTGAAAGAAACAACAGCGAAACCGTATCGGCACTAGAAACCTTACAGAAGGAAATCGCGCAATTATCTCAAAGACTGAATCACTATACAGCCGACCGTGAATCACCACGAAACCGCGGCCGAAAACGTCCGCGTGAATCCGTCCGTTCAAACATGGGTGGAGAGATGTGCTGGTACCATCTTACCTTTGGTAAGGACGCTCGAAGCTGTCGAAAACCTTGCTGTTTTGCACAGGCTCCCAACAAGCAATGACACACGCAGCACGTTGAAGCTGCTACTAAAATCCGCAAGTACGCAAAAACGGCTTCAATCAACCGCCTCAAAATCGCGGACACTCGCAACAATACTAAATTTTTAATCGACACCGGAGCTGACGTTTCGGTAATACCGAAATCTTTCAAGTTCTCAACCATTAATCCGACCAGAATGCAACTTTTTTGCTGCTAATGGAACAAGCATAAAAGTACACGGCGAAACAATGCTTACGCTCAACCTGGGCCTACGGCGACAATTCTCGTGGAAGTTCCTCATAGCTGACGTAAACACTTGCATATTGGTTGCTGATTTCATAAAGCATTTTGGTCTATTAATTGACATCAAACGCAAACGACTCATAGACAATTCAACAAGTATTTACGCAAATTGCACCTGAAAAGCTACAAGCGGCAAGAAAGGAAATAGATGAACTCCTACGTTTGGGTATATGCCGACCGTCATCGAGTTGTTGGGCTAGTCCAATACATTTGGTTCCGAAAGCAAATGGGAAATGGAGGCTTTGTGGAGACTACCGCGCTCTAAACGCTGTCACTGTCCCAGACAGATACCCACTTCCCTTTCTACAAGACTTTACTTCTATTCTCTACGGTAAATCAGTTTTTTCAAAGATCGACCTACAGAGAGCGTTCCATCAGGTCGCCGTACACCCAGATGATATTCAGAAGACAGCAGTAACGACACTTTTTGGACTTTTTGAATTTCCTTTCATGACTTTCGGCTTACGAAATGCGGCTCAAACATTTCAACGCTTAATTCACCAGGTTGTCCGTGGCCTCGACTTCGTATTCGCCTATGTAGACGATATCTGCATTTGATCTCGCGACGTAGATGAGCATAATCAACACTTACGAATATTGTTCGATAGGCTACGTGCAAACAACCTCAAAATTAATGTTCCGAAATGCGAATTCGCGAAAAGTAAATTAACTTTTCTCGGCCATGAGATTACAAAAAATGGAATTCATCCAATTAAAGAGCGTGTGGCAGCAATCGAAACATTCAAATTGCCGAATACGGTGAAAGAGTTGAAAAGATTTTTGGCGATGATAAATTTTTATCGAAGATTCATCCCAAAAGCAATCGATGCACAAAGGCATCTGTTCGCACTTACGCCGGGAAATAAAAAGAACGATAATTCAAAGATCGAGTGGAATCCCAAAGCCATAAAAGCATTCGAGGAATGTAAACGCCAATTAGTTCACGCATCAGGCTTAGCACATCCGCAAAAGGATGCTGAATTATCTCTTTGGGTAGACGCGTCTGATTTCGCTGCCGGCGCAGTCCTGCATCAAATTGTCAACGGGGAAATTCAACTCCTCGGGTACTTTTCGCGAAAATTCGACAATGCTCAAGTACGGTATAGTACGTATGACCGCGAGTTAACTGCGATTTACATGGCTGTGCAGCATTTTAAATATATCTTAGAGGGTAGGGAGTGTCACATATACACTGACCATAAGCCCCTAACTTTCGCATTTCATCAAAAACTGGAGAAGGCCTCAAATCGTCAAGCTCGTCAATTAGATGCCATTGGACAAATTACCACCGACATTAGGCATGTCGACGGTCAGTCCAATGTTACGGATGACCTATTGTCACGCATCGGATCAATTCAATTGTCGCCGACTGTTGACTTCAACGCCTTAGCCAACGACCAAAGAAGCGATGAAGAAGCGGAGCGTTTCATGTGGCCGTTCATGCAAAGATTGCCGGCACACTCGTTCGCCATTGCAGCCTTACACATTCCCTGATAAACGCTTTACGCATATAAATATTGACCTCGTCGGGCCCTTTCCGCCGTGTAAAGGACAGAGATACTGTCTCACTATTATTGACAGGTTCACGCGATGGCCAGAAGCCATTCCGATCCCAGATATGACAGCACCAACAATTGTAGATGCCTTGGTTTCCCATTGGATCGCACGATTCGGCGTTCCTACTTATATCACCTCAGACAGAGGTTCTCAATTTTTGAGCACCATCTTCACTGAGTTAACCCGCGTCTTAGGTATTGATCACCTGAGAACAACCTCGTATCATCCACAGTCCAACGGACTCATAGAGCGTTGGCACCGTACATTGAAAGCAGCCATCCTGTGCAAAGACACTGGCCATTGGGTCGATCACTTACCAATCATACTGCTTGGACTGCGAACAGTTTATAAAACTGATCTGCAAGCAACAGCCTCAGAACTAGTTTACGGAACGACTCTTCGGTTACCAGCAGAATTTTTTGGTGAGAATAGAGATTTGCGCACGGAGACTGAGGTAGTGAATCAATTACGAGAAGCTATGAAGAATATACGTCCTCAACCCACCACTTGGCACTCGAATAAGAGCGTATTTGTTCCTCAAGAACTCACCAAATGTACACATGTTTTCGTTCGAAATGACTCAATAAAACCGTCGCTGAGCAAACCATATGATGGCCCGTACCGCATCTTGAATAGAAACCCTAAATTTTATGAAATCCTTTTGGATGGGAGGAAGACCAACGTGTCGATCGATCGTTTAAAACCAGCCTATACTATTAGCAGTAACCAAGACGCCGAAACTTATGGCACACCTCAACCGGTACCG